TAGATTCGATAATCTTCATAAGTCGTTGGCGCGGCAGCGAGTGGCTGGTGAGCGTGGAGCTCACCGGTCACTTGCTGCTCTAACGTGTTGTATGAATACAAGTTGACCGGGCGCGCAGCGCAATTTTTTTATAAGTTAACACATAATAGGTATATTGTAAAGTAATTCGTAACACTCGTAACCTGACTCAAACATAACTTTATCGACAACAGTAGGTACGTAGACATACACGATCCAAGGGGGGCAGCTGCCCCCCCCCCCCCTGCCCCTACCTGGGTACGCCCATGATCGGTTCAGTAACTCCAGAGATTACCCTCTACAGTCTACAACGTCACAAACTCACAAACTTTACCTCTTAACTAGTATTATTATACTTTACTAGTATTATTATACTTTAGTATAGATAGATTTACAACACGCATCAAAAAGAAACATTTTGACCGATTTCAAAAAGAAGTTATTTAATTTATGTGTTTTTATTTTCTTTTGTAGGTATGATGAGTATGATAAATCGATATCTTCGCAAATTGTTTATTGATTTCCATAATTATTTTTTAATTATGGTTTTATAGTATAGTTACTATATAGATTTTATTCTAATGCTTACCTTTATAGTTCAAATATACTAGTGACCCATTGAAGCTTCGTTTTTGTTTTCGGTAATTTTCGACCAAGAAATCATGATTCGGCTAAATTTTCATTTTCTGCTATAAACCAGCCGAGCCACAAAACAGAAGTTCGTTAATATTATTTCTTGTATTATATTGTGATAATTGATTATATTATAATAATTAATACGAAAGCAGGAAAATTGTCTATCCTTTAATGGAGTTGTCATGTTTTATTTCTTTTGAAGCCTATATTTGCTCTTTCTCTCTCCAGGTTTAAAAAAAAAGCAACATTTCAGTCTACAGCGGAAATATTAATAGTTTTAAAGTCTATGTCATGTCATTTTCGTTTTCGACCGAAAAGACGACTAAAGCTGGAGCTTCAGCTGATGATAAAATATATGGATGCTATAGCGCGATCCTTAGGTCGGGCATTGTATGCAAAGGAAGGTCTAGTCCTTAGCGTACATCTTCTTTAAAAGAAATGAAAAGGACATTATTCTAATTTACCATCTAAAACCAAATTAAACCCAGATAAAGTTTTATAGTTTAATAAGCGATCGCTACCACTGACACCATTCCTGGATCCGGCCTTGACCTCACGCTTGCATGCGCAAAGTTCTACATAAACCTCGCTGGAGCGACAAATGGAACCTTGTCATACTAATGCCGCCACAGACACATATATTGATATCCTGTGATGTAAAAATGATGTTGTCTTGAACCTAAGGATTTCAGTGTTGTAAAAAACTCTTTGAATTTATTTATATACAGTCTAGCGAACCGAACCGGAGTCTATACTTAAACTGAAGTAATATCAGATATTACGCACAGACAGCATGTACATCCATACTAATATTATAAATCTGAAAGTGTGTTTGTTTATCTGTCCTTCTTTCACTTCGAAATGGAGTGACGGATTGGTGTGATTTTTTGTGTGGAGATAGTTGAAGGGCTGGAGAGTGTGACATAGACTACTTTTTACCGCGGGAGATTATCTCATTCTCACGGGAAAACGTATAACCCGAAAAATTATTTATGATCAGAATTACTTGAAACTTGGTATTAATGCTCTTCAATACAATTAAATTAAAGCGTGTTTTAGCATTTTTAGAAATTCATCCCATAAGGGGGTAAAATAAGTGAAGAAAGTTTGTATGAAACCTACCTATTTAGTTTGTTTTTCATAATTCTAGCGCGAGCGAAGCCGCCTGTTCTGCTAGTAAATAATATATATGTACATTCAATTTACTACAGATTCTACCAGATGTATTTATGACTAAAAAACTTTAACAGATGCAACTCGTGATATTTTTAAACCTTCTGAAAGCTTCGAAATAAAACAATTGAATTGATATTTTAAACTATCATGGATAAAAGCACCAATAGCAATAGCTTACCAAAGTTTTATTATAAATGTATGAATAGCTAGCTTATTAACGCATATTTTACAAAAAAAACAAAGGTGTAAAAAGTCACTGGTCCTAAAATGTATGAAATCTGAGAATTTCGGCATTTTATTTCAAGTATTACATATACTACAAATGTTATTGCAAAGAAGATAGAAGACTTCGCAAATTATCCCGAACGGCGTGATTTAGGTCAGATTCGGATTGACGCCCCTGGGCGAACCCGGGGTCGCCTAAACGTTTTTGAAGGTTAGGTAAAACATATTTATTCAAAATTCTTTTTGAGATATGAGTTCAAAGGTGATCCTTTTTAACGTTTGACATATAAAAAAATATATGTAGAAAATATAACTCGTGTGATCTACCTAGCCTTGCGCTTATTACCTACCTATTGTAAGCCCTTTTTACGTTAAAATTACTTGATATTTGAACACAAACGTTTTCATGGGTTTGGAATTCTCTATAATTTTAGTTGATTTAGAAATATTTCAACAACTGCAAAGAACTACATTGTAACTTCGCATGGCAATAATAATAGAAATAAATTTCTTATCTTGTATGTATGCATTTATAGTCCTAATTCAAAATTGCAACAATACCTAGTTACAATGCTATAAGGAACAGTAGCAATAGATTAGTTGATTATATATTAGAGTAGTAGTGCATCAAGTACTTTCCGGAAAATATATTTAGTTAAGTAGGTAGTATCCACCTAAGAGCGACGCCGGGTTCAGATACTAGTATAAAAACGATTTTCGGTTTCTAATCTAAAGTTTATGCATAATGGCTTAACAGAGTGTCATTCGGAACGGAGATAGTTTAGGCTGCACAAAGGTTTTAAACCAACAATGATGTCGATTTTTTATCATTTCGATTTGAAAAATCATGGATTTTTGTCGGAAACCCATGAGTAATATGATGATTGCAGTAGTAGTACCTAGCGGAAGTGGGGATCCCAGTGGCAAACACGCTGTGAAACAGGCCACATACAGATCGAGACGTACAACTAATTTGGGGTCGCACTGTATTGATAATACTGAACTTCATATTTATAAACATTACGAATATATGAATGAAAATGGAACTCGTTATGTATATTTTATGGCAACTACAAAATTGTTACGTACCTAACTGTTTGTTATTTCGTTTCTCATGTTTTACAATTTTGTTAATATAACACATTTTATCAGTAGCTATACCTGAATAACTTTTGAACAAAAAGGTACTCAGCCTTAAAAATTAATTCAAAGTAATTATTTCATCCTTAGGGGTTTATTGTTCAAACATTTTTTTTCTATTGTTCATTCCTCTAAAAAATCTTCAAAATATGTTGTAAATTTAAACATTTGTACCTTACGAAGTACCTTTTAAATAAAAGGTACTTTGTAATGTACTCTGGTACCATTTTTGTATTTTTTGAAACCATTTTGTTATTTTGTGGGCAGGCTGTCTGTAACAACTGTATAATGTAACTGTAAATCATTCGAAACGTCAGGAACCAAAAATCTAAATAAATTCACGGAAAAATCCGAAAATTTTCCGAAAATTTATTTAAAATGTCAAATATTCGTGTAAATCTAGGAAAGTACTATGAGAACTTCTTCTGTAAAGTCCTTTTTTTTTTTTTTTTTTTTTTTTTTTTTTTTTTTTTTTTTTTTTTTTTTTTTTTTTTTTTTTTTTTTTTTAACGTTGGGAAATGCATTTACGCACGAGGTGTGGGACTCACTGGCAAAGCCAGTCCTACCCACTAAAACCCAACAAAACCTTCCCCCGTCTTAATGGGGCGTCGCAGGATCGCTTACGCATTCAACTACGACGCCCCGACGGCAGGTCTGCCGCAGCAGACCACAACAACCACGGGGTTGCTCCACAGTCCACTCTGCTATCAGAAAAGTACCAGGAGCAACCCGCATGGTACACTGCCCTCCGAAGAGGGCCACCTCCCACCGCCCACCGAAGTGGGCCACCTCCCTGTGCGTTTCTTGGCTTCGCGCCCGGTTGGGTTGCCGGGCACTACTGAGCCCCCCCATCACGACAAGGTGAACGCACGTTGGGGGGGCTTCTGTAAAGTCCTACTTCAAGACCAATCATAATTTTTTCTTTCACAAGGGTTCTTTTACAAGGGTTTCACAGTCCCTAAGGCTGTAATAAATAACAGATTAGGATTAATCTTAGAAAACTCTACTCGGCTGGTCTAAATTTAATCTGTGACTTGAAATATTACAATAGTCAATGAAAAAAAAACTTTTGACTTTTAATATTAATAATATTAAATTACTAGCAAAACCGCGGCTTCGCCCGCTTTCAAGGTACAAAAACCTCTTGCTTTATGTTATACAGCAACTCACCCTCGCTTCACTCGGGTTCGTCCCTAGGTTACTTCCCAATACAAACTTTCATACCCATTTTTAGCCCCTTAAGGATGATTTCCGGGATAAAAACTGTCCTATGTCCTTCCCAGGTTCTCAAACTATCTACTTATCAAATTTCATTTGAATCCGTTCAGTAGATTCGGAGCCTATTCGGTTCAAACAAACAAATCTTTCCTCTTTAATATTAGTTTCGATTACATTATTTCAATATTGTTCATACAAAAATACTGAAGTCGCGATTAAAAAATGAGGGTGAAAAATATTCTCATACCTACTAAATATACAAAAAAAAACATTAAAATCGGTCGAGCCGTTTCGGAGGAGCGCGACCGCAAACACCGTGACACGAGATATTTATATATTAGATAAAATTTATTTCATACCCTTTTAGATAAAAAGTTATTATATAAATATATGATAACCACAGTTCATGGGAGATGGGAAAGTATTTATTTAAAAAGAAGTAGGTATGGTTGAAATATATGGGCTTAATTTTCATACAAAATTATTCAACAATAACTTTGCAAGTCAATACATTGTTCCAGTACAAAAAGAAGTATTTTTTAGCTACAAGACGTGTTTTTTTATGTTTTTCTTTTATTTGTTTACAGATCAGTATACTTTGGATAGTGAATACATTAAACGTTATTTGGGCGAACTGACGCCGACGCAGGAGTCACGCTTGCTGCAGCTTAGGAAATGGATAGCAGATCTACAGAAGGGCAAAGTAAGTAAACTGAAGACGACACGTTTGGCTCAGTTTGTAGTGACCCTACTTGCTGCGCCAGCGGTCGCGGGTTCGAGTGCCGCTGGGGGCATTCGTTTGTGTGATGAGCACGAATGTTTGTACTCCAGTCATGGGTGTTTATATTTATAATATGTATGTATTTAAGTTATATATGTATAATGTATCAACTATCTGGTATCCATAACACAAGCCTCGTAGCTTACCATGGAACTAGATGGCGTTGTGTGTTAATGTCCTGACATATTTATTTAAAGAAAATAATTTAATTTTCTGTTTCTTATTGTCGTCGTCGTCGTACGCCTCACTTTGTCGTGGAGGTCTCATTAGCGGCAATCTAGCCGGGCGTGAAGCCCAGAGACACACTGGTAGGCAGTCCACCTCGGCGGGCGGTGTGGATTGCTCCTAGTACTTGGGAGCAGTCCCTTGGTTGTTGTAGTCGTGGTTGAGTGCGTAAGCGTTCCATTAAGACGGGAGCTTTCGTTGGGTTTAGTGGATAGTGATGGGTTTTCTAGCCGGTGAGTCCCACATAACCACCTGTTTCTATACAGGGGTATGCGTAAATGCATTTTCCAACATAAAAAAGGCTTCCTCACGGTTCGTCTTTCGGTACGTGGCCTTTTACGTGAACTTTTCGTCCTCAACGACCATCCGTTCTGCGAGTGATGCCTCGCCATTGCTGCTTGAAAATTCGTCTGCTTCTTATATTTAGAGAAAAATTAAAGTACTACATTTACATATATTTACATATATGGCTTACTTTGTCCTCGCTTCCTTAATTATGTTTGTTGCCCAGACGTTCTTCATCTTGTATACGTTTTCATCAAAATTCAAGGATTTGCCATCAAGAATATTTGAATTTTTATGAAACTAATAATAAATAAAAAAGTATGCAACTTCCTTTGTAGTTCACTGTTTATTATAAAGGAAGTTGCGTGTTGATATTTATTGAACGATGATATGGTATACCCCTAAATTTTTCAGTACAACACTCAGTCTAAAAGTCTCACTCAGTCTAAAGATTTTTTTTTATATATAAGACATAAATTACGTCTATAACCATAAAATGAGATAGATGTTATTTAACTAAGCTCTAAGATTGCTCTTGCATTATATTTATCGTTAACGACTCACCCTTGCTTCGCTTGGGTTTGTCCCTAGGTAGATACGTTTAATATGATGTTCTCCTAGCTGATTCCGGCTACGGCGGCCAATCTCATTGAGACTAGCCAACTGCGCAGGAGATATTATAGTGCACAAGTGTACGCGCAGACACAACGTGCACTCTCTATTCCTGTCACTCTCATATTCCGGTGGGACGACCACTCGACACGACCAGTGAGAGTTAAGGCGCAGGACCGACGGCTTTACGTGCTCTCCGAGGCACGGGGGTGAAACACCGCCAACTTCAACTCCGGGCTGTTACTGAGACTTACTATACAGAAAGACTCAATAACTAAACTTGGCCCGACCCGGGACTCGAACCCAGGACCTCCGAGTGAGTAGCCGTACATGCTAGCCACTACACCACCGAGGCAGTTGCACGCACGCACGCACGCAGGCACGTTTAATATACATATACATAGTACATATGATGATTTTTATATCCCTTGAGAAATAATTTGTTCTCCATTCAAATTTCCACCCCCCTTTTCACCCCCTTAAGGGAAGATTTACAGGATAAAAACTATCCTATGTCCTTCTCAAGGTCTAAAACTATCTTCATACTAAATTTCATCTAAATCGGTTCAACGGATTAAGCGTGAAAAGAGTCATATATTATATGTAAAATAAACGATAAAGTGAACATTTTTTTATAGAAAATAATTATTCATTCTAGTGCCGAGATGTCGACTGCGTATAAAATTTCAGCCATTCTATAACATTCATTGCTTACGTTTATAAAGCGTCGACCTTAATTTAATTAAATTAAGCATATTACTTTTTAGAAGCTATTCGCTCAGTAATTACACCTATAACTTTATATTCAACTCTCAGATCTTGGCAACCCTAATAAATTATTTTGATATAGCGTATTTACATAGAGCGTGACTGTTTTTATATATCAAATAGGTGAGTTGATATGTCTTCAATAAATTTTAAAGCAACAATTTTAATTTAACGTTCAATGTTATCGATGGAAATAAATTTTTATGATGTTTTTCGTTCAGATTATAACATACGTACGGCTGTTATAAATACTCGTATGTCTTACTTAACTTTAATTGACGACACGTTTGGTTCAGTTTCGAGTGAATCTACTTGCTGTGCCAGCGGTCGAGTGTTCTAGTCCCGCTAGGGGCATTCATTTGTATGATGAACACTAATATTTGTACTCCAGTCATGGGTGTTTATATTTATAATTTGTATGTATTTAAATTTATATATGTGTAGTGTATCAACTATCTAATATCCATAACACAAGCCTCGTAGCTAACTATAGAACTAGATGATGCTGTGTGTTAATGTCCCAACATATTTAAAAAATATAAAAAAAAAAACAAAAATAGAACATTTCAAACCGTTTCATCTATAAATGGTATTTAGAAGAACAAACTTGTTCTTTAACATACTTAACATATATTTAAATTTTAATTAAAACTACGCACATCACAAAAACTACATTTAATAATAATACGTGTATGTAATTAAAACTACGTTTTGTGATTGAACTCTCTTTGTTATTTGACATCGACCGCTCGCGTCGGCCTTCAGTGCTTATATTATTATAGTTACAATACTCGACCCCTGATGATATTCCGTGATAACACCCCGGCGCGGCAACCAGACCAGAGCAAGCTTGAGAGTACTCCACAATTTGTTTAATGGACATCAAAGAACTTAGAAGGCAAGGCTATATTTTTAGATCCTTTAAAAATATTATAAAGATCTTTGGAAATTAATGTGGAATCAACAAAATCTTTACTCGAGTCCCTGAATACGCGGATTTGGTTCACAATTTCATGGGTTTTAATTTTTTTTTCTCGTAATTCTGATTCTTTTTCTAAAATAAAAGTACCCTAAGTTACTCCTTATAACATCAGCTATGCCAGTGAAAGTCCGGTTAAAATCGGTCCAGCCGTTTCGGAGATTAGTTGAAACAAACAGACAGACAAAAAATTTAAAAATTGTTTTTTTCTTATAAGTACCTACCGTATGTAATTTCATGTGCATTTAGTAAAAAAACTTAAAAAAAAACCGACTTCCAGGCACTAAAATGTAAAAAATAACTGAACGGAGGTTTTCATTTAGAATAGATACCTAATCAGATATTTTCGAAGTCGGTGCCAGCCGACGCATAGGAAATCTAATATATTCTGTTACGTAGAATCGGGGGGCACGGAGTGCCCCTGCCAAGTCGAGCAAAAAAGGGCCCGGCAGTACCATCCTTTTCTCGAAGCGATTCAGAGCGTTTTCCACCCCCCCATAACTTCGTTATGGTTAAAGCTAGAAGCCTGAATTTTGAGTGACTAAGAGAACATATTTCCATAGTTCCAAATTACATTCAATTTGAACCTGTAGTTTATGAACTGTTGCAGATCAAAATTCGTTAATATCGTCACTCACTCACTCACTCACCGATCATCAAAATTCTAAGGTACTTCTAGCAGACATAGATGCTTCAAATTTTGAACACAATTAGTGTTTAGCCTATAACGCAAGGAAAACCTCAAACATCACGCAATTTCAATCCTGTTTTCGAGATATACAAACTGCATAAGTAACTTTGTAATCCTATACAAATAGATATGCTATATATGGGATTACAAAGTTATTTTTGCAGTTCATACATATCATTTTTCGTCACTTAAACTACCCTAATGGATAGCTGGGTAAATAATGGATATACTGTAAGTGTTAGCGACGACTAAAATGTAATTATCAATATTGTAAATAGTTTTAAGAAATAATATATTTAATTTATAAATTAAAACATATATGTATATAAGATCTTAAATATAAAAAAAATACAAGTAATCGAACACTCGGGTGTTTCCGTAGCGAGAGCCGCTCTCAGTTGCTCAATTATAAAACATACATAATATGAGTAATCGAAGATTCGGGTGTTTTCGTAACGACAATCGCTGTGTGGCACTTCGGGACAAAACCTTAGCGAGAGCCGCTCTCGGTTGTGTATTGTGCTCTCAGTTTTTATCGAGATTTTTTTGTATAGGATAAATATAACTATTAAATAAATTATCTAAGATTAAATTTAGCCATTTAGCACTATGTATGTGATGTTAGATGTTCTCCTGACCGATTCCGGCCACGGCGGCCAATCTCATCGAGACTAGCCAACTGCGCAGGAGATATTATAGTGCACAAGTGTACGCGCAGGCACAGGTTCACTCTCTATTCCTGTCATTCTCATACTCCGGTGGGACGACTGCTCGACACGACCAGTGAGAGTTAAGGCGCAGGACCGACGGCTTTACGTGCTCTCCGAGGCACGGGGGTGAAACACCGCCAACTTCCCAACTCCGGGCTGTCACTGAGGCTTACTATACAGAAAGACTCAATAACTAAACTTGGCCCGACCCGGGACTCGAACCCAGGACCTCAGGGTGTGCAGCCGTACATGCTAGCCACTACACTAACAGTACATGTAACATGTAACAGTAACAGTAATATGTATACGTGGTCTATCTTTTGTATACCTATCTATATTAGGTTTATTGCATAAAAATCTTATATGAGGATATGACGTAATTCAAGATTAGGATGCATTAATTACTCAGGGGTTCAGTCAAAACGCTATTATTATTCTTACGCAAATTTTTTTTTTAAGTATTTGTAGATTATTACTTAAAATTATATTACATAATTGATGTCCATAATAAATATTGTTGTGGTAGTAGAGAGCCCTCGGCGCGTTAGTTCGACTTCTATTTGACTAAAAAAACTTTTTAATAAAAAAATAAAAACCGACTTCAAACAAAAGCACTAAAAAGTAAAAAATAACTGATTGGTAGTTTTCATTTACTATACATACCTAATCAAATATTTTCGAAGTCGGCGTGCTTTGCTTTGTATGGGCTGGCACCGATTTTAAAAATATTTGATTAGGTATGTATAGAAAATGAAAACTACCAATCAGTTATTTTTTACTTTTTAGTGCTTTTGTTTGAAGTCGGTTTTTATTTTTTTGTTAAAAAGTTTTTATTTTTCCCTTTTTAGTGTAGACAGTAGTAGCATAGTAAGGATTCTAACGTGTTAGGCTTGTCAAATCAAACAAAATAAGCCCAAACTCAAAGTATCTACTATTAGCCGTTGAAGAGTTCCACCTATCCACCTTCTGGCCTTGCCATCAGATCAGGTCAACAACACCGAACCACTGTACTATCAACGGAAATAGAAATACTTGCAAAGTTTCAAGTCAATATGACAATTAGAAGTAGGTTAAATTCATCATTAGTTGTTTTTCCACCCTTAGGGGTGGTATTTTTTTGAAATTTAAATGGGACCAATCTGGAAGTATACCCTTTCAAACAAAACAAAAACTGTCCAAATCGGTTAATAAATGACGGAGTTCTGAGGTAACAAACATAAAAAAAAAACATACAGTCGAATTGAGAACCTCCTCTTTTTGAAGTCGGTTGATAAATACAATATGTAAATTTATCAATATTTAGTTTAACTGGAAGTCGGTTTTATTTTTTGTTAAAAAGTTATTATTTTAAAATTTTTAGTATAGACGTAATAAGCAGGTAATTTGTAGGAAGAAAGTTTTTTTAATAACATATTCGATTAAGCAACTTGTTTAAGGAAATTTTTATTGTAGATTTTTTTTAAAACCGCTCGACCGATTTCGATAAAATTTATATGGGACCACCTGGGAAGTATACCCTTTCAAAAAAAATTCCATATCGGTTCAGGCGTCTTTGAGTAATCGGTGAACATACATAAAAAAAAGATTCCGACGAATTGATAACCTCGTTTTTGGAATTCGGTTTAAAAGCTGTTATCAACCGACTTCAAAAAGGAGGAGGTTCTCAATTCGCCTGTATTTTTTTTTTGTTTTTTTTTTATGTTTGTTACCTCAGAACTCCGTCATTTATTGACCGATTTGGACAATTTTTGTTTTGTTTGAAAGGGTATACTTCCAGATTGGTCCCATTTAAATTTCAAAAAAAAATACCACCCCTAAGGGTGGAAAAACAACTAATGATGAATTTAACCTACTTCTAATTGTCATATTGACTTGAAACTTTGCAAGTATTTCTATTTCCGTTGATAGTACAGTGGTTCGGTGTTGTTGACCTGATCTGATGGCAAGGCCAGAAGGTGGATAGGTGGAACTCTTCAACGGCTAATAGTAGATACTTTGAGTTTGGGCTTATTTTGTTTGATTTGACAAGCCTAACACGTTAGAATCCTTACTTTGCTACTACTGTCTACACTAAAAAGGTAAAAATAAAAACTTTTTAACAAAAAAATAAAAACCGACTTCAAACAAAAGCACTAAAAAGTAAAAAATAACTGATTGGTAGTTTTCATTTACTATACATACCTAATCAAATATTTTCGAAGTCGGTGTGCTTTGGCTAAGTAATTAAAGCCTACCTATTAAATACATACTTAATCAAATATTTTCGAAATCGGTGCCAGCCCACACAAAGCAAAGCACACCGACTTCGAAAATATTTGATTAGGTATGTATAGTAAATGAAAACTACCAATCAGTTATTTTTTACTTTTTAGTGCTTTTGTTTGAAGTCGGTTTTTATTTTTTTGTTAAAAAGTTTTTATTTTGACATTACAAACAGACACTTCAATTTTATTTATCTGTATTGATATACAATTTAATTTATTGGAGAGCGAAACAAAGTGCTCTTACTGTTTTTATTTTGCATTCTTAGTAGTTAAGCGAGTTTATAATCGGACAAAACTCTATTTTTATATTTTACCAATTCCTCGAGTCATGTTTTAATTTTATATTCGGAGTATATTTATTTGCTTTTTTTTATTAAGCTTTATTCATTTGTTATTAATTGCATTGACAACATATTCATCGGTAACGACGACAGGAATCCATTTCCTCAGTCTGAGCAAGGTTACGTTGGTATCGTTTTAAACTTACTGATTGACTTGTTTGTTTTAACTCCTATTATTAAATACTTACCAGTGGTCCTTCCTTAGATACCCTTCGCGTTTATAATATGACGGAAGTGCTCAAGCGATGATTTTCCCCGTACATCACCGCAAATCTCTTAGTTTAATAGGATACAGAAATGATATAATGAAATTTATATAATTACATTATAAAATGTTAGTTATCGTCTTTAGTTAATACGAAGACGATGTGCCTTAGAATATCCTTCTAATACTCAAGTCTTTGCCTAAGACATAAATCTAGGCGCCGCGTCAGAAACTCAAGATTAATGCGTCCTACAAAGTTAGTTGTGTAATAATGGCGTACATAGTGCAGTATCTGCGAAAATTTTCAATGTTTTATTTTGTATTTTTTTAAATACATAACATACATATATATATATATATATATATATATATATATATATTTAAAATCCACCAGTTAGGTTCCATAAGTGTAATTGGCTTGTAAAACTAAGGCTTACCTTTATACTACACCGAATGTTAAGCTGCACGCGATAGCTAGTTCTAACTAAAGTGATTGCCTTATCATTACGTAATGATAAAACATACATACAAATGTACATCTAAATAAGGTACATCTAAAGGTATATAATATGTTACTAACATAATATATGTCGTCAGGTACCAAGCGACACAACACTCCTCCGTTTTCTCCGAGCACGTGATTTTAGTGTAGAGAAAGCAAGAGAAATGCTGTCTCAATCTCTACTCTGGCGGAAGAAGCATCAAGTAGACCGGATTCTCTCAGAATACGAAACACCTGATGTGGTCAAACAGTACTTCCCGGGTGGCTGGCATCATCATGACAAGGGTTTGTTTTATTTTAATACCAATGTTGTATTTATTAGTTCAGTTAATTTTAAGTCCCTTAAGAATTAGTCTCATACGTAAAATTTCATCAAAATTGGCAGAGGTGTCAAAACGAAACAAACAAAAAAAGTTACTTTTCTTATTTTTTTAAGAAAATTAAGTTTTTTATTTATATTTCCTGTCTATCATTTATAAATTATTTATAAATTGATGAAGCTTATCATTGTCCTTCCTGTGGCAGACGGACGTCCCCTATACATACTGCGACTGGGTCAAATGGATGTCAAAGGACTATTAAAATCAATCGGCGAAGATGGACTCTTGAAGTTGGTTAGTATATCAAAATAATTTTATTTAATAGACTACTGTTTTAAAGAGCTACAAGCGAACTTATTTATTTACGTTACGTATTATTTAAAAAAAGGCTAAAATTTGTTTGATTTCTATAGCTTAAACTACATCCGGGCTCCCGATATACACTGCTAATTTATTAAAAACCGGTTGTTTCTTAAAACTTTGATTTACCTATGTAAGCACTAATGACAAAGAAATGCATCTATTTTTATACTGCAATATATTTTCAGACACTTCACGTATGTGAAGAAGGTTTAAAACTGTTAGAAGAGGCGACCAGATCATCCGAACATGCAATACAGTCCTGGTGCCTCCTGGTCGACTTGGACGGTCTCAACATGAGGCACCTCTGGAGACCAGGAGTTAGGGCCTTGCTTCGCATCATACAGATCGTCGAAGCGAACTACCCAGAGACCATGGGAAGGGTACTGATTGTAAGAGCACCCAGGGTGTTCCCGATTTTGTGGACTATTGTTAGCACTTTTATTGGTAAGTATTAACTTTTTGATATTTTAAAATATATGTTTATCATGTATAGCTATTAGCTAGGTCTTTTGATTTTCGGTTTTGGGACTTTTTGTTTTATGTGCTGATTGTATTTCTGTTGATGGATGTTGATACTTCTGTTGATACTAATCGATGTAATAGAAGGAAAATTTTACTGTTTAATTTCTGAGCGTAAATTTAATTGATAGCTCATCAGTTCACGTTGATGACAATTTTCGAGAATATTAATCTGTAAATAAAGTTACACGCATGCGAGCAGCGTTTCATACAAATAATTTAATACTAATAGATAATTTCTTTTTTAGACGAAAACACTCGCAGCAAGTTCTTGTTCTACGGAGGCAAGGACTATCTCCAGCCTGGCGGGCTGCTCGACTATATCCCTAAAGACCTCATCCCAGACTTCCTTGGAGGACCATGCAAGGTACGATGTTTGGGGCCACAGTTCTTAATATATTCATAAAGTATATAAGTAGTACTATAGCTACAATACTATATTAAATTTTCTTTGTATTTTTTTATCTGCGTGGGCAGAAAGAGACCAGTGAGATATCTCTTCAATTTTTTCATACATACTACATATGTTATGTTGTATTTCAAATTGCGGAAACCGAACTGAGAACCTTTGCATACGTCAAATTCAGACATACCTTCTGCCCTATGAAGAATTTCAATTGATATTTAATTTAACCAACTTTGAAAAAAGGACAGGTCGATATTAGACTGTTTCTGCGACCAAAGAATAGAATAAGGGTAGTTAAGTGTTTACTTTAAGAGTGCTTGCAAGCAAATCTTCAAAGCTATGTATATTTTCTTTTTTTTATATAAATGATCTAAATGATAACGTATATTTGTTTATTCCCGTGACGGCAGTCGGACATAGTAGACGCGTCGCGGAACGTGCCGCACCACTTTTACAACTGCGTACGCGTGAGACAGTACAAAACGCTATACGTGTAGCAACTGTGCTATTGTGGATATACATCGATGTTGCAAGAGCTAACGCTTGTGATAAAAAATACAATTTTGCCCTTAATGTACTCTATTTTCCAGTCGAAGTTTTATTATGATCGGTTCTGCTTCTATCCTGCAATTCGAATCGAGGATAAAGAAGATGAAGGCATATTTTAGGGGTTCTCATTGCCTGTGTTAGAGTGTAGCTGTCATTTTACATACACCTATATATATTATTTTTTATGAATTAACAGTCGTTTTAAAGAAAAATAAATTGTTTTAAAGAATATATAGTTATTAAAATTTAGTTACTTAATTTTTTGTGTATATTACGCGTAACGCAATATTTTCGTCAATTATTTTTTTTACATACGTTATACTATACTGTACATTAAACCATAGACATAAATTATAATTTTAAAAAATGTAGCAACTAACAAAAAGTAAGTAAGTAATTAATTTTAAGATGTCTTTTTAGATAAAAAGCAACTTGAGAAATAGAATTTTGTATTAAATAATAGTTAGTGGTAGCCCAGTGATAACGCGCTCGTTTAGCAAATCGAGTAAAACGAGTTCAAATCCCGGGGACCTCTGATATTTTCCTGTGCAAATCATTTCCAATATGATCACCGCTTGTCTTATGGTGAAGGAAAACATCGTGAGGAAACTTGCATGTCCGCCAACCCGCACTTGGCCAGCGTGGTGAACTATGGCCTAAGCCCCCTCGTATTGAAGGGAGGCCCACCCCCAGCAGTGGGACGTTAAAAAGGGATGAATACAATACATACATTATATAATAATAACCAAGTTTATAATTAATAATTTTATGACCCGTCTGCTAGTTAAAATAGTCCTACTATTGAGAGGACCATTTCATCAGGACCTTTGACTTATAATGTACATTCCACTGATAATTCTTTAAATACAAAGATATTCTTCCTCAGTCATAGTGCTTTTAATTATCTAATAACTGCTAATGACTATTTTAATGTCGCTTCATTCTCCGTCTGTCTGTCTCTTTGTTTGTGTGTGAATATTTGATATTTAAAAAATAAAAATATCTTTTTGGATTTTTGACCGATTTATTATGATTTTTAGGTCTAGACGTTTCACAATCAAATCTCGATTTAACAATCAAAAAGGGGCCTACTGTAATGCATTCGAAACGCCAGACACCAAAAATCAAAATAAATCCCCGAAAAAATCAGAAAGTGTAGTTATAGTTTTGAAATCATATACCTACATATGATAACTAAACCGAATCTGTATACTAGATATTTTTTGAAAAATCTTATTGAAATAAACATTATTATCGATGCAGAGTTCGAATCTATGGGTTTTAGAATTTTTGTCTGTCTGTCTGTCTGTTACTGCATCACAGAAAAATCACTGAAGGGATTTTGATGAAATTTGGTATGGTGATAGCTGGTTATCCGGGTCAACATATAGGATACTTTTTATCGCGGGAAAATATCTCATTTCTGAGAAAAAATACAAAAACTGCAATGTAAGAGTATACTAATATGTAAAACCTAAGAATTTGGTTCTTGGTCATCTGAACGCGAGCGGAGCCGCTGCTAATGCTAGTATCAAATATTCACACACAAACAAAGGGACAGACAGACGGATAACGAAGTGATCCTATAACGGTTCCTTTTTCCTTTTTATTTACGGAACCCTAAAAATCCTTAAAGATGAGTCCATAATATTTATATATACTGTAGAAATAATATAAGGAGATAAAATACTCGTATTGAGTAATATGGAAGATAACATTACGAAGATAACAATACATTCACCTTAAACCTTAGGAGCGGAGTAAATTCCTATACCTACATAAATAAAATACTCGGGCGGAGCTGCCGGCAAACATTAGTGCGTCCTAAAAACACTTTACGACTAATTAATATTATTCCTGCTGATACATCATTATCTTCTTTTTTAACAAAACGCTTGCAAAAACCCCACTCAGACGTATTTGAGTGGATGGAAATGAAACTCAGCATTATACATTATTATATAAAAAGTAACAGCTGTGAATAAAAAACTGTAGCCCACGATTTATATAATTGATAAAGTTGCCAGCCACTTAATAATGCACAACGATGACCTTTATAATTAGTTGAATATGTAGAAAATTAATGTACTTAGAGATCGATTTCCTTCCATTTTACCTACTTTTTATAAATTAAATGAATTACTGCAATACGTAGTTGATATTATATAGAATCATAATAAATTATATTGATTTCATTGGATTGGTATCTTCACGCGATTGTCTGCAAAGTATTAGTTAATTTCATTTTATATTTATATAAGGTTAAGTATCGATACGGTTATCCCATTTTAATTTATTATTTTAAAGTTTTATTGGTTTTAACTCTGGAGAAACCTTATTCAGTATTCACTAAACAGACGTTTGTCAATTTTATTCATACGAGTATATGTACGATAAACCCGTATTATATAATAATTAATAATAGTAATATTTGCGTATTTTCCATGTTTTTCCCTAAATCTCTCAATTTTTAATTAAATATTTAGCAAGTTTGTACGAATTAGCTCTTGCAATTTCGAAATTATTGGCACTTATGTAAAATGTAACTCGTCTATTTCGTGTTTCATCGTACATTAGTTTTGTCTCGCGTCGTATTTGTGACATACTGTATAGTTTAGCTACTTGTTCACTTCATCTATCCACTACACTACATAGTATACACCATGTATACACGTTGTCTCTCGTAACAAGTGCTAGAATAGAATGCACATTATTAATACACTAGCGACTCACCCTCGCTTCGCTCGGGTTCGTCCCTATATTGCTTTCCAATACAACTTTCATTACCATTTTCACCCCCTTAAGGGATGATTTCCGGGATAAAAACTATATCCTATGTCCTTCCTAGGGTATCAAACTGTCTTCTTACCAAACATCTAAATCGGTTCAGTAAATCCAAAGATTACCCCCTACAACAAACTCACAAATTTTACCTCATTATAATATTATTATAAATATACATATATATTTAATTATTTATTCACTATTTCGCTTTTTCAGATTATTATTTGACTATATTTTTGCTACTGACAATAACTAAAACTACAAATTAACACATTTACAATCACATTCGTTTTCATATTTCTAAATAGCACTATAAAATTATATTTGCAATGGCTGAGAATTGTGTATTATTTCAGAGCTTTGTCCACGAAGGAGGCTTAGTTCCGAAGAGTTTGTATGTGAGTGGGGCTTTCACTGAGCGCGATGGAGACCCTTTGAGTGAAGACAGCATTTACCGGTCTGTTAGCCTGGGGAAGGGTCAGGTAAGTAATAATAACACAAGTCATTATATTGTGAACAGTTATTTATTGTTTTATTATATTGTACTATATATTAACTGATATCTAGCAGTACCCACGGCTTTGCCCGAGTTCAAACTTCCGTTCCTAATTTGAATAAAATGTGTGTATTCATGATTATATCGTCCTTATAAAATCAATAAATGTTTTAAATTTAACATGTCATTGTTCGCCTAAATTTTTTATTATGTTATTAACAAAGGAATAGGAATGTTGGATATTAGAGATATGACGTTACTGAAATATGTTCATGTTATTTTTCCTATGGTAACGTAAATACAATATTACGTCTAAAACAACAATAATAGTTTGACCCTGGGTATTGTGAAACAAGACGTAATTTTAACCAATTTTTCTGCAGGTACACGAAGTAATAGTGCAGAACCGTGATCCCCAAAGCGTTCTGACGTGGGACTTCGACGTCATCCGCCACGATATCTCCTTCACGGTGTACCGCAGCGACCACGAGCTGGACCATCCGGACCACACCGCTGGTAAGCTTTATGTTTTCTTAGTAAGCTAACTAAACATTTGTAATTTTTTGATCAAATAGGGAATACGCGTGATTTTTTTTATTTTTTATACTATTGTATTATATTGATGTGCTTACATCGTTATATAATTGTAAAAAAATATCCAAAAAACTAAAATTTAGCATTAAAAACATACAGATACGGATAGTTTAAACACCCGCCAATAACAAAAAACAAAAACAATAAAGATTATAAAAAAAATATTTCACCTTTAAATCACACGCATATTCCCTATTATAGAAAAGTATTACTAAAAAGATAGGTAAATTCGATTTATTTAAGTTTTCCTCAAATTTTCAATTATGGGTGACCATTGACTGAGGGATTACAGTTATTATAAAATAATCATGACTGTACATCGCACGGTTAAGCTAGAATAACACGTACGCATTTTCATTATTTACTTAAAAATTAACAATATCCCAGGTCATACATAACTGAGTACTTCATGTACAGAGATACCATGTAGGTTTTGGCACTCAGCACATGAACTATCTCTCTACATAAAACTAACTTATTGATGACAAACCGACACCCTAAAATTAACTAGTTGTATTGCCATAACATTTAACTACATAATTTGTAAGCATACCATCTGCAAAATCACATTGAAAGTAATGATTTAACACAGAGATTTAACTCAAATTTCTCTTAAAATTTGAGCCTTCTAATTGAAGAAGAAATTATGAAAATCGGTTCAGAATTTTTCCAAAGACTCTATAGTACGATATTGTACTTTTTTTTAAAGATAATCGCACAATACACACATATGCACACAGAAATACCTCTTCTAAAACCGTACAAACGTTTAGCGTTTATTCCAGCGATGTGCGTGGGCGGCGTCATGGCGGAGGAGTCGCGCTCGGTGCTGGAGAGCGGGCGCGAGGGCGAGCACTACCACCGCGTCGAGCCCACCCTCGTCTGCCACGATGGGGAGAGTATACAGGTACATCATCGGACTCTTTCTTCTTCTCCTTGTTCTTATCCCACACTACTTGAGGCAATAACTTTTATTTTTGAAGTAAAACTTCTTTAGGCGCCCTTGACTTGGGGATTAAGCTGGTGAATGCGTTACGCATAAATGTACGTACGTTTGTTACCATGGTAACAGTTTTTGTGTCTGACAAATGATATATAGTATTATATTGTTTCCTTAAATGATATTCTATAAATATATGATTGTAATATGCTTAATATGCATTATTTTTAGTATCTAACCTATCCTAATTATTGAAAACATAAATTGAATGTCATAAAGAGTACTATATTTTTCCCACTTTTTATCAGTGTTCGTGTGTGTGCGTGTGTTTATACGCTCGCACGTGTGTGTGCGCGTATATGTATGTTTGTTTTGTGCTCCTTCACGCTGAAATTCGGCTGGATGGATTTGGGTAAAATTTAGTATACAGATAAACCAACCGATCTTCTCCGTGTTTTCGATGAGGATACTTTTTAGTTTGAATTCATTATTCTAATAGAAAGACTTACCGTCTAGCAGTGATGCCATGGGTAGCTGGTTCAAATCCTGCAGACAAAGGTCTTGGTCTCACTCTGACAATATCTAATATTGTTTGTAAAAAAATTCACTTCGTTGGTGTGTAAGGACAATCCAATAAAGACGCATATTAATAATTTTATATTAATATCTTCTTATACCTAAATAAATAAAAATGTACAACGCAAAGGTACCATATTGCATGTGCCCAGGGCTCTCACGTGATGGCGGAGTGCGGCAGCTACGTACTGCAGTGGCGCTGCGACGCGGCGGAGAGGGCGCAGCTCATGTACTTCCACGAGACGCTCGCCAGCCACCACTACCGGTCAGTCTTTGGCTACTTACAGTTTACATGGCGGTTCATAGATGGCGCTGGTCTCGTGTCCTCAGCTTACTTTGATGATACATAGATGGCGCTGTATGCATTTTCTAACATGTTTTTCCTGGTTTTGTGTCAGTCTTAGGACTACGTTTATTTTTCTTTCTTTTTTACTTTTCGTGCACGTTTCTTTTAAATGCTAAATTTATATATGCCTTGTCGGCAGCCGGTAAACAAAAAAGCCTCAATATACAAACTAAGGAAAGGCGACCTTATACAGTGACAAGTGGCGCAAACCTCGTTGAAGTCTTATTAATTGTATATTTATTTAGATTATGGTTTGAGGATATTGTAAACAAATTTATACAGAATGCGCCTCGCCTTTTTTAGTAGATACAAGGTGAAAAGTATAATGGGGCGGCCATCCTGATAGGCGCAGTGCGCGAAAATTACAAATTGTTTAAATATCTTGTGCGAATCATTTCAAATATGATTACATATACAGTGAAGGAAAACCTCGTGAGGAAAACCTGCATGTTGTCGAAAGACATGTGAAGTAAGCCAACACGCATTTGGCCAGCGTAGTGGACTAGCCTTATTACGAGAACTCCTTGCATTCTTTAAAATAACGGAAACTTGTGCCTCTATATTAAAAGGGTCTGAATGAGATTCACATAGCTGAAAATCACATATCTAAGACACAAATCTGGCTAAATGATACATTCAATCCTTCTGTTATGACGTTACATTTACGTTGCTATACTATTTGTCTATTAGAGTAATAAGCAATCACAGTGATATTAATTGGCGTAACCGAAATTGGTCACACCTGCTAATGCATAAACCATAATGTTATATATATAATGTGGTTTGTCTATTTATTCTCTTACGGTTATTAATTCAATAAACATAGCTAAAAATGTGTACTTACTATTTACTTTTTTTTTTCTCTTTATTTAAAGGACTTGTTCACAAAAAAGAAACATGTCGTCCTGTTCGGACTTCTTACATGCTACATAATACATTTTAAATCCTGAACACTACTAACATAATTATGTATTAAGGTTAGAACTATAACTAATAACGATAAATGCAAGCACTTAAAAAAAACCCCTTTAGTTAAACTACGAATATTTATATAATCAAACAATTATCTGTTTTTTAAGCCTAACTTCACTAATTTATACACACTTTTAGCGGAACTTGAGTGAGGACATGTTAACATACTATTGCAAATTCCAATATTCATATCATTTTGAGCAAATATATGCCTTCTAAACGATTCATTCCGAACACATTCCATCAAAACGTGATAAACATCTTCATTTTTCCCACACACTACACACAAAGGAGATGAAACCTTTTTTCATTATAAATGCAAAATAGTTAAGGGGAATGTGTCCAGAACGAATTCTAAAAGCTAATTTTAGGGTGGATCTATCTAAATTACAGGATTCAAACCAAGGAGAGTGAAAGGGTACAGGCTGAATAGTCCTATACCAAATCCCCTTGTTCTGAGAAGTCTTTTCAAAGTTTTGCACCCACAACTTACTAATATGTACTTACTATTTACTTACAAATAAAATAGATTCATTCATCTTCAATAGAAGAAGTTAATAATGACAGAGGAGGGTAATAAAATCATAAAGAATATAAAATCTATAATTGTTACTTTCTCAAAATAATAATTTAATTTAAGGACATTAACACACAGCACCATCTAGTTCCATGGTGAGCTACGAGGCTTGTGTTATGGATATTGGATACCAGTTAATTGATACACTACACATGTATAATTTTAAATACATACATATTATAAATAAAAACTACTAATGACATTATTTTCTTACCTCATTTCAGCGGCTCAATGTCAAGCCTACAATCGGCGACCAGCGGGTTCTCTTGTATCAGCGGCAAGTCGGCGACCAGTACGTGCCCCTCCCGGTGATGCAAACTCCCCTCGCACCCTCCACACCCCTCGCTGCCCCCCACTCCCATGTCCCCCGCTCAACCCCTCTCACCAATACCTTCACCCCCATTATTGTAAAACCAGGGCCTTCTTGATTTGTACTTGGGGCAGACGTTGATACGGTTACTTTGTCAGTAATGGTACTTGCATGGGCAGCGCGGGGCACTATGTGTTGATTCGTAGGGTATAATGGTCTTTGGTGGGTTTAACCGGTTTTAGAATATTATAAAAATACTTAGGAACAAGGACAATGTGTTAGTTTATGGAAGAGTATACTAACATACATTAAAGGTATTGAAGAGTTATCAACATTTTAAGAATGGATTTGTAATGTGAATCTCACTTTAGATAATCCTAGTTAATATAATCAAATCTGTCCTAAATTAAAATTAATTAGAAGTTAAAAATAAACATCAGTGTTGGATTTGTTAGAAAATTATAAAAAGAATCATCAACGGGAATTGATACTTTTCAAAATTTTAGAAATAAAGTTAAGTTAGACTACTTAAATTGTGATATAAGATAGATGTGACATAAGGTCCTTGTCATTCCTCTGAAATTTACACATTATCAGAGAAGTTTCTTGAGAAGTATCTTTTAATGCTTTTCGAAGTATTTGCATTACATTTTTTGGGGCAGTTTATGTTAATTGTTAACATAATGAGTATTAAGAGGAGTGACAAAATGTAATTAAATTTTATTCAACGCATGGCAAGTTTAACGTCCTAATATCTCGATCTGATAAAACATTTGCAAATAAATATCAAATTATAGATTATACAAAAATCGTGACAATAGACTCGCTTTATAGAATGTTTGAAGTATTCGTGCTACGTTTACGAAGACGTTAAATCTGAAAATATTATTCTTCTAAGTGAATAAAATTTGAACCTATCCTCGTAAATGTTTATATGTCATCTAATTTTGCGGATGAACTCGTTCATATAAATTAGTTTAGATATCTTATTGTGAGTGCTTGCTCAATTGAAAGCGATGGGCGTCTGATCAATAGTAATATTTTAATTAAATCTGAATTGTATATACATATTGGGGTATGGAATGTTTGTTTGTTTATAATTAACAAACATAATGTATGGTATTTTCTAAAAGTGGCTACTAAATAGCTATTCAATTAAACGTACTTTATAACTTATGCTTTAAAAAATATAAATTTAATGAAATTTTCTCATTACTTAGTCTTTTCTTTATCTTGTCTTTTACATAAGAATTTCGCTCACAAAATAACTAATATAGCAAATGATAAATTCAAAACTTTAAATTTTAAATATTACTATTAATGATTAACACGCAGTGGTACCCCCTGTGGTAACACATTTGCTTGGGAATCCTAGTGAACGGGTTGAAATCCCGTCGCATCTCTGATATTTTCATGTGCGAATCATTTCCAACATGATAACCACTTGTTTTACGGTGAAGGAAAATATCGTGAAGAAACCTGCATGTCTGAGAGAACCTAGCAAGTTTCCAAAGGCATGTCCAGTCCGCCCACACTCGGCCTATATGCGTGGTGGACTACAGTCCACCACGCATATGCCTGATCTCTGATCCCCCTCGTATTGAAGGGAGCCAGTGCCCAGCAGTGGGACGAAAAAAATTCTAAATTATTTTTTCAGGCGGTTAAAATATGCAATTTGTTGCTATATAATAAGAAAATTGTTAAATATGTGTATATAAATGTACGCCACATAGGCGTATGTGTGTTTGTACGTACGGTGTGGAATTTTAATAATGTTATCTTATTATTAAGGCTACGTCGTTCCCTCGTGTCGGCTCAAAGTATATTACACCTTATTGTGTAGTGATAAAGTCTATTTTTGATTAAGTAGCAAATACATGTATATAATTATTGATCACTCGCAATTTTCAATGTTTTGGCTTTTGTTCGATTTAAAAGAGGTTTTATTTTGACTTTTTTCCAAAACACGGACTTCGAGGATATATCACGAACAATTAATCCTTAAAGTAATTATATCGTACTTTAATGTAATAAAATGTCAATTATTCTGTTTTTTATTTTAAACGAAAAGTTTTGAAAAAAGATTATTATAATTTTTCAAATGACTTTGTATATAAATTTCTTTATGGTTCATTCATAAAAATTATTATTTTCAATTGAAAGATTTGAAATCTTGTCTTTTCAGTTATTTGCGAGAGTATCATAATAATTAGGGTTAATCCGGCCCTGATAATAATAGTAAAAAAAAAAATATATAATTAGTAAGTGTTTAGAACAATTGTAGTCAAAACGAATGCATGAATGCAATGAATTACATAGTAGTTTAGATCAGGTTAAGGACGGTACAAAAACACGTATTATTAAAATGGCCACTCTATATGAGTGTCCCGGTGAAAGGAAAGCAGGTAGAAACAATCGTAACATGTCAATACATAGATATTGTAGTCAATAAATATTGGATAATAAATAATATTATAGAAAAATAAATAATAAGAATGGTGTTAGTTTATTCGTCTCCTAAAGAAAGTGTTATGAATACCGGAACAGATTATCCGTATTTTAATATACACGATATATATTTTTATATACTTTTCGGGAAATAGTAAATATATGGGGGTTATTTTTTGTTTAGTCTGACTATTTCTGAATACATTAAGTATTTAGAATCATAATATAAATCAAAAGAGGTTTATCTATTTTTATCTAAAATTAAACTAATGTACCTACTTCTTATTTAATCTGTAGCAAATTTATTACGTATGAATCTCGCTGTTTGTAGAATTGTCTTGTGTAAGTTGTAACGAATGAGGTCGCCATCTCAACGTACACAATATTGTATTTAGGACTTTATCATAAATATCACATATTTTTTCAAAATTTAATCCAAACAGATCTGAAAATGTTATCTAATAAAATATATGAACTAAATTCAATGCGTCTTGGTTTTTTATTGCTCGGATTTCAATGAAATACGTCTTAATTCTTAAAAAAAATTGTTTATTACATAAAAATATCAAATACTTGTAAATAAAATAATATTGTAATAAATAGCGTATCAATTAATATTTGTTTAACTTGTGAGTCTCCTGGGGAATTTTTAAGGAATCTTGGTTTTAGCAACAATTTAAATTAATTTTTCGTTGTTTTCGTAGTTCTTTATTTCAAGGTGAAAATAATTGACTTCACAGACAGTCTTGTACAAAATTTTCTATTTAATTATTCTGATTTTTAATTTGATTTCAGGTTTATATTTAAACTTTAATAAGTTTTAAAAATATTTTATTACGATTTAATATAATTTAAAAATATATAATCAAAAAATACTTTTGATTATTATACTTTTTAAATTAAATGTCAGAGATCATAAAAATTAGACCTACCAAAACAGAACGCCATAATGCTCAATCATTAAATTGTTTATAAGAAAAATGATTATTAATAAAATATGTGAAAATTTAGGGAAATAGAAGTAATTGTTTAATAAATATGAACTAGATTGGCCATATAAGTCACACAGATATTAAAAATAAGCTTCGCTTTTAAACCATACCTTATAAATTCCTATTTTGATGAGAATCTAGATAATATTATGGACTACAGTTAAAATAATTGTGTTTCGCTCACGTTATGTAATGACGCAGGAATTGTAAGGATTTTATTGAATCTTGATCATCGTAGTGTTAAGTTTACTTTTTAGTAGTTTTAAGTGGATCTAAAAATAAAATGCAATATCAAAACAAAAAATGATTGACCAGTTAATCATGTAAGTAATAATTTTTGTATCGAGAGCCCATTATTTTCACATTTGCTTCACATTTTTGATCAATGCAATAATTGTTAATCATATTTTTGTGAAATAGTTTGAAGGTTTTAAATATAATTAAATGAAAATCAGTTTTACGCAATAAAATTTATACAGCCGCAATAAATAGAACGTTTCGCAGATATCTTATGATATATATTAAGCAACCGCACAAACCGTACACTACAGAATAATTTTGCTACACATATTGCTCTTTTTTAGTCAGAATTGCCTACAAAAAATTAAATATTAATAAAACTGTAATAATTTGTAGACTGAATAAAAACATGCAATATGTAGTGGCTGTACAGCTTTTGAGCGTGGCATTAATTAAAAGAGTTTACTTTTTGTCTATGATTTATTTGTATTATTATAATATAATAGCGTTACTACTTTTTAATGTAGTGTAATGATTTCGAATAATAAATATAATATAAATTGTTTTTTTTTTATTTATTACCTCCAGTGAATGCTTCAGTATGCTAAATTGAATATTGTTTTCCTTTTGTTCAAATGGATTTTTACTGTTTAAGTAGACATCGTTTTAGAATCTATCTAATCTGTTATGTATATAAATGTTCTATAGTCAAAGCGTGATTGATCTCCAGATTGATGTACTAAACTCAATGGATAACCAAATGATATGGCAATAAGTTATTTTAGAGCTAGAACCTAGATCCTCAAGGTGGTCAAAATATTTTTATAAATTTCAATTTCATCTGGGCACAGGGGCATTGATGTTATTTTTGAGTTAAACTTTTAGTGGTTTTTTAGGGCTCCGTCACCAAAAGGCAAAAATGAAACATAATATATGTAGTTTCGGCATATCTGTATGTCACAACATTTTCACTCAGACTATTGGAGCTATATTGATAAAATATGATAGGCACATGTCTACAGTCAACCGCTAGACAATTCTGTAATTAAATAATAAAAAATATTACAAGGATACATAAAAATAGAAATAGACCTCTATACAGAATAGATATAACGAATGAGGCTGCTGTCATAGGAGAATTTCAGAAGTACGTCAGATAGGCCAAGTAAAATTCGACCAATAAATAGTATACAGTTTTTATTATTTTGTACAGAGACGAATTCAAACAACATTACGAAAATAAATAACAAAATTTATTAAATAATAAAATAACAATGCTATTACTCTTGCCCTTTTTCCACTCATGATGACAACTTAAG